TAATTAAATAATACTATTATTAATATATTAGAACTTATAATATATTAATAATCATAAGTGCCTTATTCTCTCATTTAGTCTATCCAAGTATTGCAATGCCATGCAACCCAAATGGACCATGCCGGGTCGGGTCAAGTACATACCAAATAAAGTTATGGACTTAGACACTATATCCAACAAATCTATCGCTGCTAGTTGTATATGAAACAGTGGCATATAATTTAGACTCAACAAGATGTAGGATGTGTGATTCCGCCCTATTTCCTGTTCCTTGTCTGGTTGTGGACTTGGGGGCAGAGCCACCCAACTGAAGGTTTTGTTGATTTAAATTATATACAACTCGTATACACGAGGTGAGGATGGATGAGCCAAGGATGAGTCTTATCATGAACTACAGAGCAAAAGCCCGCATGCTTACTATAACAACCAGAGATACCTGAGTGGGAGTGGTAGCGGATTGCAATGGGCTTAAAAATCAAGTTACCAAGGCAACGGATGGACTTGATGCCATTTTGGGTGATCGTCGACAGGTTATCCAAATCCGCATGCTTCCTACCAACAAAGGAAACATACACGCTGGAGAAATGGACTAGAACCTACATCAGGGAGATTGTGCGACTGCATGGTGTACCAATATCCATTATCTCGGACCGAGACAGTAGTTTCACCTCGAGGTTCTGGCAGTCACTACAAAAATCTCTAGGAATGAGACTAGACAAGAGTACCGCCTACCACCCACAAACCGACGGACAGAGTGAGAGGACCATTCAAACCTTGGAAAAATATGCTAAGGGTTTGTGTGATCGATCTTGGTAAGGCATGGGATACCCATTTACCATTGGTCGAGTTCTCGTACAACATTAGCTAACACACTAGCATCAAAGTTGCTCCATTCGAAGTTGGGCTGAAGTGGGTAACACGTAACTAGCTAGAGGACAAGTACCTAACAACACCCTCACAGGCCCAGAAATCATAAAGAGGAACGACCGAGAATATTGTCCAAATCCAAGGTATATCAGACCATTCGAGATCCTTTCCAGGATTGGCCCGGTAGCATACAAACTTCAATTACCACAGGAGCTCAATAACGTACACCCTACCTCTCACGTGTCGAACCTAAAGAAGTGCTTGTCCGATGAGACCATCTTCATCCCTCTGGATGAAGTAGAAATCAACAAGAGTCTTCACTTCGTGGAAGAACCAATAGAAATCATGGTAGGAAAATTTAAAAGAACAAAACAAAGTCGCATACCTATTTTGAAGGTCCGCTGGAGTGCCAAGCGAGGACCTGAATACGCTTGGAAGTGCAAAGATCATATGAAACAAAAACACCCGCATCTCTTCCATAGTCCATAAATGCCTATCTTAGAATTAATATCGGGACGAAATTCCCTCTAACGGGGGGATGATGTGACAACCCGATATTTGAAGTCAATATAATGACCTAAAGTCAAGTATTATAATCTATTTTTCGAATCAATAGAAGTTAGCGTCAAAAATGAAGTGTTCTAAAATCTAAATTGGGTTGCATAAAAAGATTGATATCGTGTCGAGGTTTCCAAAAATATAAAGAACACTCAAATCCGAGTCATAACGAAGAAGTTATGACCAATCAAAGATCCGCGTCAAAACTAGTAAAAACCCTGTTAAGCGTAAAAAGTGAAACTTCAATAAAATACTTTTTAGCCTTAGGTATCTAAACGAAAGTCGTAGATTACGTTAAACCGTGAGCATGCATAAAAAGAACGCCCAAATCTGACTTCGTATGAGGAAGTTATGATTTTTCGAAGTTTCGGATATAGCGGTAGAGAGCCAAAAACTCGAAATAGAGATCGAGCGATTTTTAGCCAACGCAACCTAAACGAGAATCGAAGGTCTCGTGAATAGTAGTACAGCGATGAAAAGACAGACGAAAACGGTCGTCGGATGAAGAAGTTATGGATTTTTAACGGACTTTTTCCTGTCCCGGCCTGTTAAAAATTAATAATTAAAAATAAATTCAAAACTAGCCGATGGAGTCTAAATGAAAGTTGTAGAGTACATTCTCACCTACACGTGCATATAAAGTACGTCAAAAACGGAGCTCGTATGAGAAAGTTACGGATTTTACAAGTTTGAGGCACACAAACCAAGACGATTTACGCCCAGCGTACCCTCGTACGCCCAGCGTACTCGGATGCTAGGCCTCGGTTCGTCCACGTTGCTCTAATGCTTCGTCCGAGGATGCGGTAAGCTATGACGCATGCGAACGCGCCGCGTAACCTCGCTGGTACGCCCCGCGTACGCGAGGGTTCCAGCCCCTATAAAAGGGATGGGAGAGTTCCGGGTTTCTTTGCTCATTTTCTCTCGTTCTCTTGCGTTTTTACCTCGTTTTGCGTGCAAGAAATATCCCGAAGTCCCGGTTTTCATATCCAAGTCCCGAAGGAAGATTTACGCTCCCGAGATTCCCGAGAATCCCGAGAAATCCGCTTCCTCCTGTCGAAGTTCTGCTCGATTATTGCCTTATCTTTTTCAACCCGCCTCTTCAACCAGGTGAGTTCATACCCCTACGTTTTTCCGAGTTTTTCATGTTTTAAGGGGGGGGGGGATACAAGGAAAAGCAAAAGTAATCTTGGGCTTAAAGTATATTATTTTGTTTAAGATAACTATACTTTCAATATACTTTGAACATGGAAAATAGTTTTTACCAAATGTGTTAAGAAATCAACTCGCATAAACGGTTTTCAAAACTAAGACAATGAACTTATGAATCATGAAGTAAAAGATATCATTTTATAAAAGGATTCATGTTAATTACAAAAAGGGTTTTCAGCATTATTACTTGTAAATTTGTTAGCCAAAGTTGGAGACACGTCCTTGGTAACACTCACCACCGAAACAGAGTGTAGGACTAACACATATGACCAGAATCTCTTGTAGGGAGAGCGTGACTGTTGTGTATAGATCTATACGTGATTGACAATCCCGCACCTAAACTGTTAGCTACAGTTAGACTGGCAGGTTTGGGGTGAAAAAGTCATAAAGGATACCGGCCCCGATACGTGCCATATCAAGTTAATGCATGGTTATAAAACTCGCAATCTAGATAACAATGATTTACTTACGTAATAATGGATCAAATGAACTAACCTCAGAGTGATAATCAATTGATTACTAGGGAGTATTAATAATACCTTCCGGATTCAGTTCACCATGTTTTTATTAGTTTTATTTATGTAATAAGGCTAATGTACCTCACTGGGTGTAACCAGGTTTTTTAAAAGAAAACTGTTTTTATCATTATAAGTATGGTAGATACTTGTACACCTCAGTTTAGAACAGATAACCAACCATCAACTTTTAGGGAAAATATAAGATTTTCCCGGGATAACCCGGCTCTTCAAAAACAGATTGTTTAACATGTAACCAACGGATATTCATATTCATTCCACGACACCTTGGATTGTACATATCTTGTATGAATCTGGAAATCATGGAAGGAATGGGTTTTCAAACACGCTTTTCATCATAAAATATAGGATTTTATTGAAGAACGCTTTTCAAAAAAAAAATCAATGAACATTTTTCCACCAAAACTAAATGCCTATGAACCCACCAGCTTTATGTTGATATTCTTTCAAAACTGCTTGTATTCTCAGTGGATTCAGTAATACAGATAAAACATCAGCTTTTGGAGAAGAGACGCTAAGACGTCAATCTTAAAATTTATTGAATCATCATATTGTAATTATTTTGGGACATGTATTGTAAGCAACAATGTAATTTTTATATTATATATATGATGGTTGTGTGTACTTTCTTTACAAATATTCAACTGTTATGATACTACGTGAAGTCATCCGCCCCCGAATGTTTCCGCCATTCTGGTTTGGGGGTGTGACAATTTTCAATATAAAGAAGTGCCCCTAGTGGAAATACTTCCTTCGCCGGTTAGCACTGATCATGCATTGGCGCTTGTTGGTCCTGCCATTGTGGTGGGATAAGGATCTGCTCCTCAGGCTTACCAGGAGTTGATTGACATGCCTGTTGAAGGTGTTCTTCAAGATGATTCTCCGCCTCCTGACCCCGATAACGATCCGACGAAGGAGGTGGAAACTGGAGGGAGCAGGACAACTACCACGCAGCGAATAACCTGGATGGACTCCCCAGTTACTGAAGGCCCCAACGTCAGCACTGTTGGAAAGCATCTTCGTAAGAGACATAACTTGGACATCCTGCTTCGGGAGTCGATCGTTGTAGTAGACATTCTCGATGATGACGCTTCGAACCTGTTGGATGGAATGAATAAGGAGGCGAATGAACTGACTCATGAACCAAAGGAGGAGCCGAAAGATTTTAATGACACCAAAAAAGGTGTTACTGGGGAGGAGGCTAACTTGAGAGTCTCTTCTGACGCAACATCCTATTGCATACGAGTGGGGATACCATGCTCTCCCTCTGGCCACAATTGAAGCTCTGGAGCTCCTCTCCAATTCTCATATGGCCAACATTCTCCAGTATGAGGCGGCATAGTTCGCCCCTTATTTGGTGGCCGCTGCTGAGCGTCTTCGCCACGTCAACTCTGGGCTAGCAGAGTTGAATTCTGTTAAGGCTGAGCGGGATGATCTGAAGGCTAAGTTGTCGATCCTTGAAGCCGAGAGGCGTAAGTTTTAGAAACTTTACAAACTCTTCGATTGCAAGAAGGTGTCAGCGGAGGAGTGGATGTCTAACTTGGATGGATCGGTGGAGCATCTTTCTCATTTAATTGAGGTCTTGGTTGAGGAGAAAGAAATTTTGTGGAGCTAGGTGAAGGATCATCATGAGCAGCTGGAGGTAGAGTTGTAAGGAGGAAGGCTTTGAAGGACGATGTACCGTGGCTCCTTCAAAAGTGTGTTGTCCGGGTGGTGGACAAGGTGGTGGAGAGTGTTGAGTTCTCCCTTGGAGTTAGGCGAATGAAGACGGCAGACATGGCTGCTGGTGTGGAGGGCGGCAAGCAACCAGTCCGTGAGTAGGTCGTCGCCATGAATTTTGCCCCTGGGGAATCGAGCGCCGTTGTGGAGCATACGCAGGCGATGGATTATGCTGTAAAATCTTTTATGGAGACAAAATTTGCCTCCAATATTTGCCTTGGTGAGCTGGACATCGAAGGCCTTCACCAGTTGTGCCGTGATCCTGATGCATCAGGGGACCATCCCGAAGATAGCTCCTCTGAGGCTGGGACCTCCTCCAATCCCTCCGGTAAGTGATTATTTTCCTTCTCTTTGGTTGTTGGATGTCTAAGACAATATTTAAATTTTTTTGGTGTTTGTGGAACAATGTCTAGAAACAATTTCTTTCTTGGCCCTGCGTAGCCATTTTGCTTAAGTCTGGGGGATGTCTGATAGTCAATACATGCTTACTTTTTGTTTTTACGGCATTAGACTTTGTTGAAAACTTGCTTGCTTTGGTTTCCAGTGGTTTATGTTGGCTACTAGAGCGTGTATGCTCTCTGTTTTCCTTACTGAGGTGATTCTTCCCTGAGGTTTATGTTGGACCTGAGGGTTGATTGAGGACAACTCCCTCTTTCCATGTAGGGAATTGGAACTCGAGGAATCCTTTTATTTGATGGGCAAAGGTTTGTTTGGATTGATAGCTTTTCCATTGTACTAGTTTTGCTCAATATGTGCCTTTAGGACTTATTTTTGTTTAAGGTCCCTCGGGTCTATCCCAGGAGCTCGCGCTAGAAGGTCGGAACTTGTTCTCTTTTTGAGTTATGGGCTTAAGTTTTTAGGCCTGAGCTACTGGCTAGCTTTTGGTTGGTTCGTTTTGTTATGGTGTCCCTTTTAAGCTAAAGTTTATTGATTACCCTTTTAGGAATTTCTTCTAAGTTCTGGGCTGCGGAGTGTTGCACCCTTGCCTTAGTCATCTAAGTCAAGTCGCGATCGTTACCTCGAGGCATTTAGGACTTAGGTATTCTTTATTTCAAGGGAAAGGTTATGAGCTTTTGAAGCCTTTGTTCATGTCATGGTCAAAAGTTTTGGTCCTTTGGGATGAAATGACATGTTTAAGGAAAGTTTATGAGCCTTTGAAGCCTATGGTTGCATTCTCACAACAGTTTCGCTCAAATGATGTGGATGATCAATCCTTGTTGTCATTTGGTAAACGTGCATAACTTGTTGTTTAAATGATATCAACCTTGAATAGTAAAAGACGTTCTGATAGTTTTTTATAGTGAACTTTCGTTACTTCATTAATAATGTTCTAAAAACATCTACATTGTTTGGTGAGTAAAGAAAGGGGAGTCATTCCTCTGTCGTTTGCTTTCGGGATATGGAGTCCGACTTGGTGTGTACTTGCAGTTTTTGTCATGTGTTTCTAGGTGGTGTCCAACTTACTTCAAGGTTGGGCATAACTAGGCCTGTACTTTCCCGACACCCATTCTCATGCTTTTTTGTTTTCCATTCACATATGCTAATTGCTGCAGTTTTTGGTGTGCCTTGGGGGTGATTTGGTGGAGTCTGGTGGTCTTATGCATTTTGTTGGGTATGTTCATTTTTTGATATTGCTTCATCTTGCTGGCGCTTGCACCAAATTTTGCTACTCGTAATGGCCCGTTTATAATCTCGAGTGGCAATACTGCCTGCGTGCTATGTATTGGACCGAAGAGTGTATTTCCAACAATGGGTCTCGGGGCCATGTGATGCAGCTGAGACATTGCTGATGACTCTCCATCCCCGGCTCTTCTTGCTCCCATCAGATGCTTGGTTTCGGTCCATTTAATGAGGTGGTCGATGGTGTCCAGAGAGACTTGGCTCTACACGGGTTGACGGGGAAAAAATCTTTGGTGTCTGTGCCCCATTGATTGGGTGACTAACGACTATTAGTTAGGGCCATGGCATGTTGGTTTTGAAAAAAAATGAGAGCTTGGTATTCTTAGCATTCTTCCGGGAGTTTGGTTGTACCTTATTGCACGTTGGGATGGCATGTTCCTGAACGAAGCACCCTTCTGAAGACGATCCTGGAGCCTACATGTGATCTGGTTTTGCCTGCACGGTTTTTTCTTGAGGAAAGTGTCCTTTCCCCTAGGTACTACGTCTGTACCACAATGCCAAGTGTCCTCTACCTAGCTGCACTTTCCTTATTGTGAATCATGCAGCCTTAACACTATTCCTCCTGGCCTCTAGAGGATTGTCCGAGATGGTCCCGTGAGAGAGGTAGTTTAAGCAAGGTCTGAGTCAATCGTGGGTCTTTTCCACATTGTCTATCTGTGTCTTGTTGACATTTCTTATCAGGAGGGCTTTACCCTACGCCTTCTCGGTCTGGCCATCGAAAGATGCTGAGACCAACCTGCTCGGGGCGTTAGTATTTTGCAATTTCCTATCGAGGGGTCTACCTGACCTTGGAGTTCCTACGCGGGTGTGTCAGCTCCTGCTCTGTGTCCCCCGTGTCTCTGGCCTTTCTGATCTTTGGACTTAGGAGTAGCATTGCCCTGACTGGCGGTGATTGGAGACTTACTGAGGGCTGGAAGGTGTCTCACTTCAAATTCATGTTCTCGGCGAAGGCGTGTTCTAGATCCTTCTTTGTTTGTTGTATTGCTCATCGTGAGGGGCTCTTCAACCTTGTTCTGAATTGGTGTAATTTTTTTCCTGTTCATCAAAGGATTGACCTTCCTCTTCCTTGAAAATGGATTCACATGAACTTGACGTCATTTGTGTTTTTTTCGGGATCTGAGAAGTTCCTTTTGGTGGCGTAGAGCAGCATTGTCTTACTCTGGTCACGTTAGTTGATGCATTTTCGCTGTAACTTGCCATGCTTTCTTGTCGCCATTCGGTTTGCAACCCAACTGGGGGAGATTGGTTCCTGGGGGGGTGCTTGTACCTACTGAACATATGGATTCATCTTGCTCTTCTCGCCTACTTGCCTCATTTTTGTTCTTCGATTGGGGTTCCTACTTGGTCTGAGGCAGCAAGGGTCTGATAGTGACGACGTATATGCGGGCTAATGGCAACAATAATGGCTGATCCAATGCTCGTGCTAAACTTCATGGTGTCGCGAATCATTGATGGTATGTCACGAAGTTGGAAGAGCGCTGGTCTCCAGAGCAGGATGTCGTGCTCTGCCAGGAAGCGCACTATTGCGAACTTTATCATGAATGTAACCCTGTTTCTCCCGTCATGACTGGTTATAGTAAAGGGGAGATGTATGGTACCTATTAGCCATTAGTTGTGCCCTGTAAACCTTATGAGTGAGCCGATGGTCGGAGGTGTTAAGCCTTCCTTCCAGGAGGTTGGCAATTGGTGGAAACAGTGCTCCTAAAGCATGTCAGTACCACTGCCGTTGTTTATGTAAACACGGTTGATTTGAATTTGGCGTATGCAGGAAGTTATCAAGAGTGAATGCTTGGGGTTCCAACCCGACATCCTTTGATCTTCTGACGAAAAATTAATATTGAGGATGTTTTTCGATAGTACCACAATGTTATCATCCGTTTCATAGCTCCTGCTTCTCTTACAAGGCCTCATGATGGTAAGGATCTCCTCCTTCTTAAGTTGATGCTTTTCAGCATCCTTCCGAGCTCGAGCGTTCCACTGGTCAGTGTCGAACTTGGATCTCAAGTCCTTTGCGGCGTCGGAGAGGTCGTCTGTTATCTGTTTTCATCTATTTCTTTCCTCAGCACCGTACATTCGCCGGTATCATGGGTTTTGCTCTTGTGGTACTCACAATACTTCCCTTTCTCTTTGTCTGCCTTTGGTGGCATTTTTTCAACAACATGTACTTTAGTCCAATGGCTCCAGGGCTCGTCTTTTTCAAAACAGACAAAATCTACGAGACGGGTGCCACGAGTGCCGGTTGTGCTTGTCATGGCTCCCGTCATGGTATTCTCGGTGGTTGGGGATTGACTGGGAGTTTGATTCTTCTTGCTTGATGTACGTATTTACAACAACCTTTAGGTTGGCTTCCTTCCTTTCCTCACCCTCTTCATGTCTGAGGTATTTCTCGACTCTATATTTGAGCTCGTCTCTCGACTGAGGTACCTTCCCTTTCATCTTCTTTGAAAAAGGGCCAGGGAGTAGACCTTGTGCGAAGGCGCCCGTTACAAGGAACTCTTTGTTGTCCAGGACATTGAGCGTCGTCAGAGTGAATCTATCATAATATGCATGTCTTGATTCTACTTTTTTTTTATTGCATGTCGTTATTGAGTTTACATCTCCCTTCCCCTTCATTAGTTGTATAAAAATTGTTGAGGAAAATGAATGTTTGTATTATGATTGGATATACTTCAAGTATGAACAGGAAAGGTAAAACTAATTTAAACGAAAAAAATCAAGAAAAAGTAAATAACACAGAAGTTCTCCAAATGTTCCTTTCACCAAGAAAGTAGGTTTTGACTTCACCAAGAAGACTGGGTTTTGCCACAAAGACAATTGACACAAAGCCACATGTAACATCCGGAATTCCAGGTATTATTTTTATCAATTATTTTTGGAGTTAAGAGAGGGACTCGACGAGTTGACGCATGTACTCGTCGAGTCGGGTCGCGATTGCTGACTAGATAAATGAAGGGACTCGACGAGTCGTTAAGGGTGGACTCGACGAGTCCGTGCTGACGATTGAAACCCTAAATCCCCGGGCCTGAGCCCTATTTAAAGGACTTTATAGCCTCCATTTGCGGCTACCAGTCCAGAGAGAGATACCCTAGCAATTTTGAGCGAGTTGTGAGAGAGTTTGAGCCTCTTTGTTCGTTTTTGGTGTGATTTAGCCAAGGAGGAAGGGTTTCCAGCAAGAAAGGGGCAAGAGGACTTCATTTCAGCAGGATTTTAGCTTGGATCTTCATTTTGAGGTAGCCATTCGATCATATTCTTCTGTTTTGCTTAAGAGCATTGAATTTAGGGTTTTCTATATCTTTTGTGGCTTGTTGGGTTGAGATTTAGTGTCCCATTGAGTAATAAACTTTGGATCCGGACCTTTTGAGGTCCAATGAGCTTGAACCACCTTTCTTTTTGTGGTTCTATGGAGGAAAGGGACATAGGTTGCCATGATAGAAGGGATTTCACCAAAATAAGCCTAGAGTGCCTTGCATGTGTACCAAGATTCGACCTTTACGTGTTTATTGGTCATGGGGAAGTCAGATCTATAGATTAGGGAAGCAGATCTGACCTCAGGAGGTCAGATGAGTGTTTTCATGGGAGGAATTCGCCGAGCACATAAGGGACTCGACGAGTCGAGTCAGGTTGCCCTGCGATTCGCGACCTGTGATAACCCTTTGACTGTAGGGTTGACTTAGCGAGTCGAGTGAGGACCAGGGGTGAAGAGGACACACATGTACTCATCGAGTCACATGAGTGCACTCGACGAGTCCGGTCAATGTTGACCGTTGACTTTTG